CATACATACATACATACATACATACATACATACATACATACATACATACATACATACATACATACATACATACATACATACATACATACATACATACATACATACATACATACATACATACATAGCTCTAGATGTTTCTGAATGGTGCCAAGATTCTGGGGTGCCTGCTGTCTAGTCAACATCATATCAGAACCAAAATACAAACACGCACACACACACACACACACACAATCTTCATTAAGAATTAAGCCAAGGGGACTAGCTCTTGCAACTGCTTATTATTGTCCTGTGTCTTTCTTTGCTCTTTCCAAGCAGCCCTTCAAAATATTCAGATGCAAGTGTGCTCTCCCCTCCACCATGGCAGTTGTTTTCTCTAGTTTCCTGTATTATTGCTCTTTTGAAACAGCTGGCAAGTTTGTGAGATTACTTCCTTGAACATGCAGTAATGATTTCCTCTGATCTCCCCCAGCAAAACATGATCCTCTCACATGTTAAACCTCCTATAGGACCCAACTCTTCTTAAGAAGAATCCAAATATTCTCCAATTCTCCCTCCCAAATCACCTCAGGAACTGGCTGGCTGGGTATTACAATGGAATGTTCTTCCTTTCCTTCTAGCCCATCCAAAGGGTAATCATTTGCAATTCTGTTCGTCTGTTAGCACAATTAAGTTAATAAGATGACTCAATTTCCACTCCAGAAAGTATCTATCTTCAGATCAGAGATGGGCAACTCTGGACATTTTGAAAGCTATTGTTCCATCCACAAGATATATTACAAGCAAAATGTGACCTTTAAAAATAAAAAGCCATTCTTTGGCTGTAATCCTTTTGCTTAGCTTTCATAACTTTGTGTCCATTCCACAAAGATTGTGTATGAACACAATCATGAAAGAGTTTATTTAATGGGGGCAAATGGACCAACAGTTACAATTTGGCTTATGCTATGAACAAGATTTCAGTCTTAGTTTCTGGAATTTTACTTTAAAAATATTAAGAGTGTTTGGGAGATTGAGAGGCATCCCAGTTCAAAGCATAACTGCCTCTCCTAGATACAGCAATAAAAGATAATATTTTAAACCTCCCCCTTTTTAATTTTATTTTATTGGGGGGGACCTGGAGACCACATGCGACTGTGGAGAGTACTTGGTCACCCTATTATAGATCAGTGAGATGAGATCATGGCCATATACGGAATGGTCAGTACTGTCGGGATGGATATCTCTGATGTGCTATATTGTGATTTGCTGATGTTGGTAGTACAGTGGTGCCCCACATAGCGACGATAATCCGTTCCGAAAAAATCATCGCTATATGGATTCGTCGCTATGCGGAACAAAGAATCTCATAGGAACGCATTAAAACACGTTTAATGCGTTCCTATGGGCAAAAAACTCCCCGTTCTGCGAAAATCCTCCCTGTGGCCGCCATTTTCGCTGCCCGGTAAGCGAGGAAAGGGCATGAAAACACTGCGGGTGGCCATTTTTTTTCACGCGGTGGCCATTTTGGAATCGCCAATCAGCTGTTTTTAAAGCATCGCTATGCGAAAATCACAAAGTGATGTTTTGCCACCTAAAACATCGCTATGCGATAGCAAAAACGATTGCAAAAAACACATTGCTATGCGGATTCGTCGTTAAACAAATCGCTCGTTATGCAGGGCACCACTGTATTGCTACGAGCATTGACGATTATGTTGCTATATTATGTATATTTTAAAGTGATACAGTTTTAAAATTAACCTTGCAGCTGGGAGCCCGTAGAAGTCTGATTATGATGTACTGTAGCTATAAATGATGCAGATCACATGAAATAAGGATCATGTAAACAAGGTATGTTGAATCTCCCAGTCCTCCTTTCATTCAGACTTGTTTTAAAGCACCATGTATACTTATGCTCTATAAAGCACCATGTCCGACAATAGATATATAATAAAATAGATATCATTTCTTGAGATTTTTTACCATTATAAACTTTCATTTTTATTTGAATATTCTGCATCTCAAGACGTAAAGATATCTAATACAATATGTAAAATGTCACCCTTCAACCTATTTATTACCTAAAATACCTGACAAAACCACAAAAGGGACTGAAATAGATTATACCTTGGATTTTTTTTCTCCTTCATGGTCCGATAGTATACACAAATCTCACTATACTTACTGAGGAAACAGCAGCCAAAATTTCAACGGCTCCAGTGCTTAATGTAACATATGGGATCATTTCTGGACTCAGCCCAGCTTCCTGGAAAATGTCATTTGTGTAGAACCAAATCTGAAAGGAGAACCCATTTCTCAGTAATTTGATTTTTTAAAAAGGAATCTTCCAGCAACTTATTAAGATGTTAAGTCTTCATATACTGAATGTCTCAGTTATGCTGCACTGGCTAAGGAATGTGAATCATTGTGTTGTGCATTTAGCTCCTGGGCCACAATCTAGCCCATGACTGACACACACTTAAATCTGATTGATGCCCGTAAGACACTGAAGTCTTATGTTTTGGGGATAGAGTACCTTAGTAAACCAAGTTGAAAACATGCACATCATCTTAATATCTAAAAAGAATTATTAAAATCCTAACTTTTTTGTACAAATGATTGTATTTAAAATAATTTCCATATAAACAAAATGAAATGTATGCTTATACTGTGCTAAAGAATTTAAAAGAAATGAAGATAGCTGCAACAATATGCTATAAAATTCAGGTATCTTGATATCATTACAACTTTTTTACAGTGGGGGCTATGCAGTCCTGGACAGCCTCTTCCTGTTACTACTAAGGCACTTAGTAAATGTGGAACACAAGAAATAAATATTTAGATACATAATGTTTAGATCTAAATGTCATGTGTGCAGCTAAGTCTCACTCTTCATTTTATTTAAAATAAGCACACATGTGGGTTCTACACATTTATCTAGCAAAGGTGACACACACCCCTAGGCAAAGTTATTACAGTGTTACAGGACCGACTTTCAAGAGTCTTCAGAAATTGTGTTTGGCTTCAAATGCAGCTCTTTGGTGCTTGTCTACAAGACTGCACTATAAACAATTTGCATCAGCTATACAGCTTACCAATTTAATTCCAGACAAAAATTCAAAATATTTGAGATGACCTTTAAAACCGTAAGTGGCTAACATTGAGGACTTCTCTCACTCTTCAAGAAATGCAAAATATATCACACATACTTTGCCATGACCTCAGATTTCTTCTAAATGTGATTTTCCAGCTGATCAAGATCAGAAAAATCTGGTTTATTTCACTTTACGTACCATTTTTCTATCACTTGTAAGTGTAATTATATGCAAAGTTACTTTAAAAAGAGTAGGTAATAAGATAATTCTAGTCTTTTTCAGTAAGGTATCTGCAGTAGGGAAGATAACAAGCTTATTATTAATACTGACAATCAGAAGTTAGCAGAACTAGCTTCAGTGAAGCCATGATTAAAAAAATGTTCCTTATTCACAGCAGACAGTGAATGACATTAATATTTACCTGCAAAAATTTACTATTAATGAACTGAAATAACAAAGTGCTCTGAAAGGGGGAGGTTTTATACCATACAGGTAATTCTCAAGTAACATATTAATTAGTTATGGTCATACCATCCTCCTAGACAGATTATTAAGAAGACAATTGAGTAAATTTTGAGTTTTTCAATAATTACAATTTCAAGGTTGGTGAAAGAGAAATGTATATGGTGTGTATTTCTAAGCATAAGCACTACAACCCCCCAGTGAACCATGGAGTTAGTTTATCATAATCTGTAGGGAAAAACTGAACTCCCAACTTGTCTCAGATACAGTGAAAGGATTATTTTCACTGTTGCTATTTAGACAAGGAAGTCACAATAAACTGCATATACTCCAGGCACAATAGGTTTTCACAGGGTGCTCTTTCTTCCTTTATTCATATCAGAGCACTGCACAATTTAAAATTATCGACACATATGAAATATAAGTACAATTTAAAAAATTAAAATGCTAAATGTTAAAATCTTATCTAATAATCTAACATGACTAATGTCTCATACACTCAGAGCCTCAGACATATTATCATCATCGATAGGATAAATGTTCTAAAGATCTTTATAACAAAACGTATCATGCATCTTCCAGGAGACACTTACATAAACTCTATAAAGTCAACTACCATGATGAACAATGATTACTTACAGCATTAAGACCACAAAGTTGATAGGAGGCCATGGTTACAATTACAGTCAGGATCTGCCATTGTTTATTGCGGTCACACAGAAGCTGAAAGACTGAAGATAGTTGGATGTTTCTCTGCACATGACTCTCTTCCAAAACTTCTTCAACTTCACAGGATACATCACATTTCCCAAGGAAGATCTGAAATGCTGTTAAGCTTACATTTTACACATTTGTTTACAATGCAAATGTTTACTATGTACATACTCAATTTGTATATTTAAAATGACACCAAACAATCAGTTTGCATCAGAAATTTCCCTCCTTCTAGGTAACAAAAACTGTTGTACAGCAAGGGTTTCATAGGAACTAGTTTTCACTCATAAATAGGAATCTACATCTGTCTCCAATCCATGAGAACATGGAAATGCAGAAAGTAGAACTGGTTCAGCTTCTAAGTACAAATTATTACAAAAATGAACTCAAATATTACCAGCTCTCCATCTGAGGAGCAATAATCTGTAGTTCTGCACATGGTACGTGTGTGAGCAGATTCACTGCTCACATGCTTAAAACATTACTCCTACAGCTACCCCTACTCATGACAATGCACACTTGATTTTAGTCTGGATAATTTTTCTTTGGGAAAGGAGGGAGAAACACAAAATATATCTTCAGCCTTTGATTCATATGCTCCTTCCAATAGAGGCACTGTTTCAATAAATCATAATATCAGGCAGTACAGTATGGAACAACATATTTGATAAATAGGGTGTTATATGTATTATTTAATGTATCCAGTAAAAATGCAGACAGGGTACATTTGGCCTGAAAACTGAACTTGGTTATCTAGTTTATGAATACTTCATAATGTGCTCTTCATGCCATCACAGAAGTGAGGGGAGGTAGGAGAGGATGCTGGCCTTACACCACTTTTGCTTTTCCTATCTTCAGTCCCCTTCCCGTTGAGCTGCATGCTCATGGTGCCTTGAAAAAGCAACTCCCTATAGTTTCAGCTGCCCATCACCTTTTTTTATTTATTTAATATACTACTAAACACACAACTAAAACATCAGCACAAAAAAGAAACACCCTTCTTTCTACTAAGCTAAGCCCTCCCCCCTTTGGAGTCGGAGACTCTAGCTTCATTGACCCTCCATTCTCTCCGGCTAGGTTCCCAGTGTGAACTGAATACATATACATATATAGTCAAATTTGCCCTACACTTCTGTCCTCCTCTGGGCCCAAGAGTATATTAGTTTCCAGCTTTGTTTTACATAGTCTCTTGATTGTTCCCGTAGTGCTTCTGATTAGTATGTCCAGTTCTGCTATGTCCCATAGTTTCTTTAACAACTCTTCTATCACTGGAGTTTCTTCACTTTTCCATTTTTGGCCCAGAGTAATCTGGCTGGTGTGAGTATGTACATTAGACAATATTTCATTTTTTTATCATTGATTCCTGGCATGATATTCAATAATGCCATTTCAGGTTTTATATCTAATTTCTGCTGAGTAATTTCTTTCACTATTTCCCACACCTGTGTGCAGTAATTTTTGACTTTTTCGCACGTCCACATATGATAATAAGTTCCTGCATTTTTGTTACCTTCTGACATTTTTGCCAGTATTACAGGTGTATAATGCCATCTATAAAACACTTTGAGGATATTTTCCCTAAGATTTACTGGTTTGATCATCTTATAACTTTCTTTCCACGTCTTAGCCCAATCATCAAGACCTATGTTATATCCAAAACAATTTGCCCATTTTATAATCTCTTTCACCCTCTTTCACCCTCTCATCCTCTAAATCATATTCTAATATGTATACATTTTAATTATTTTCTCATCAGTATATATCTAGTCTGTCCACCTGCATTTTGCCCTTGAAGAAACCTACAGTCCTATCTTTTTTGTATCTTGATTCTAATTTCACCATTGACCACCAATCAATAGCCACACTCAATTTTCTAACTCTTGTTTATCCTTTATCTTTTGTTCTTTAGTTAACAGATTTTCATATGTGGTCAGTGCTCCTTTCTGGTTCAACACTTTTAATGTGAATGCTTCTATAGGCGCCACCCACAATGGAATTTTCTTATACGTTTGTGCTTGAAATTTTTGCCATACTATCCCTAAGTGAAATGTGTGTATACACTTTATGTAGTGTGTAAAATGTGTATTTAAAGTCTGCACTCCTATATATAGCTGCTTTTCTGAGTGTGGTTTATTTTGGAGGAAACAAGTCCAGAATTTCAGTGTACTTAATAAGTATTCGCGAAGGCTTTCACGGCCAGGATCTAATGGTTGTTGTCGGTTTTTCGGGCTCTTTGGACTTGTTCTGAAGGTTGTTCTTCCTAACGTTTCGCCAGTCTCTGTGGCCGGCATCTTCAGAGACTGGTGAAACGTTAGGAAGAACAACCTTCAGAACACGGCCAAAGAGCCTGAAAACCCCAAAAAACTATTAGATCCCGGTTGTGAAATCCTTCGCAAATAAATTTACGTTTTATTCTTGGCTTCTTAGGCTTCCAGACAAAATTTGATGTTATGCTGTCCAAGTCCTTAAAATACTTAAAGTTCAATAGTATTGGGAGATTTTGAAATTGGAATAATAGTTTTGGTAAGATCATCATTTTTATTGTTGATATTCTTCCCATAAATGAGAGTTGTAGTTTGCTCCATTCCTCAGGATTTTTCTGAATTTCTTTCTCTATTGGTGAGTAATTTTCTTTCATTAAATTGCTTGGTTTTTTGGTGATGACAACTCCTAAGTATTTAATTGTTTTCACCACCTCAAAATTGGAGTTCCGTGCTAATTTTTCAACATCTTTATATTTTTTGTCATAAATTATGTGGGTTGTTTTTTTGATAATTTACTTTAAATCCAGTCACCTGTCCAAATTCTTCTATGACTCTCAATAACCCTTCAAGATTTTCTAAAGGATTTTCTAGTATTATCGCTAAGTCGTCCGCATATGCTTGTAGCTTAAATTCTTATGCTCTGATATTAAGTCCTTTAATTTCCTCACCTTTATTGCCATCAACTTTATTGACAGGGAAAAACAAGGTCTGATTGAGCAAAGCTAGCTCCGAGACCATAGATGCACATGTGCTTATATCTCTGGCTCTTGACCATATTTCTATTGGTGTCTGTGTGAGAGACAGATGGGAAGAGAAAGTCAGATGTGTAAGTGGCAATATATGTATGTATGTATGTATGTATGTATGTATGTATGTATGTATGTATGTATGTATGTATGTATGTATTTATTTATTTATTTATTTATTTATTTATTTATTTATTTTATATAAATAAAAGAATAATAGCTGTGCCCACTTTGGGCTATCTGCTGCAGGCCTATATTTTTAAACATTCCAGATATTATATACTAAGTATCCTGCTGTGTGAATTCTGAATCCAGCAATCAAGGTTTCACTGACAATCTAAGTGTAATATAGCTTAGACACAAATATTTTTCATAAATTTGCCACCATGTTTATGCATATAGCATATGGATCCAAATCTCCATGTTCTGCAGAGTATATGAAAATAATACTGTTCATGCACTTGTGTGTACTTCCTAACTCATGGAGAGCCATAGTGTCCATAGCTCACCTTTTAGTGCTGTTCCAAATTGCTGCACTAATGAGACATACAGCTTCAATTGTGGGCTGAGCAAATACATTTCTACCCTCCATCCATCCACACATTTAGTCTGCACATTGAAGCAAATATCTATGAAGGATGAAGGGTTTTCATACCCTGAACTCATATTCTCATTGTTACTCTTGGTATTAAGAAAAAAGACAAAACCAGGTGATAATTGCATATTCATTTATGGTCTTGATTTTTAAACCATCTGAATTAAAGAAACATATTCATTCATTCATGCATCCATGCATAAACCATCTTTCTCTTTTAAAAGGACCCTCATGGCGGCAGTGGTTAAACCGCTGTACTGCAGCTAAAACTGTGCTCACAACCTGGGGTTCAATCCCAGGTAGCTGACTCAAGGTTGACTCAGCCTTCAATCTTCTGAGGTCGGTAAAATGAGTACCCAGCTTGCTGGGGGGGGGGCAATGTGTAGCCTGCGTAATTAACTTGTAAACCGCCCAGAGAGTGCTTGTAGCACTATAAGCAGCACATTTTTGCTTTGCTTTTACATATACACTGTTTAAATAGACACTATTTAAAAGCTAAAAACAGTAAGTGTACAAATACTAAAAAGGATCAAATACCACACAAAAATGGTAAACAAAACCAACACCAAAAACACATTGAAAGCAGTAGGGTTATGACTAAAAATTATAATGCTGTACCTTTTTCTGCAGCCTTTGTGTCATGTTTCTCAAGCAAGAGAAACCGAGGACTTTCAGGAAGAAAGGGCAAGACCCCAATTTGGAGAACCGATGGGACAATGATTATTCCAAATAAGTAGGGCCACGAAGATTCCTGGTAAAATCCAGACAAAAATGAATTCAGTGGCAAAGCATGAGTTTTGTACACAGATGATCCTAGATTCAATTCCTGCATACCCCACTTTGAAAAAAAGAATGTCAAGCATGAAGGTACACTCTGCTTAAGGGCTGGAAAAGACATGATTAGTCAGGAAGGGCTACATAAACATGTGGTCTGACTTCTTCCCCCTTTCCTCCTCCTGCATCTTTCTTCCCCTTCTTAAACACATAGGTTATAAATCTAAAATGCCACTTTAATATGTCTGAGGCCCAAATAACAATGGGCTGCAGTATCAGTGAGCAAACTCTTTTATTTAATGCAGTATTATGCATGTGTGAGAGAACCAACCATTAGATACACAACATTTTCTTTAGTATAATTTCTTGCTTTCAAAGACAAAAGTGGTGCATAACTAAAAAGATGCAGAAGTTCAGATTGGCTGTTAAGCAGCTATTACTAAAATGTTTCAACAAGAAATCTAAAACAAAAAAAGGCATTGTGACACTTTAAAGACTAACTGCTATGTTTTAATGTAAGCTTTCATGGGACATTGTTCAAATCTTCAGACATGAGTCTGAAGAACCAAATCTTTAAGAGAAACTGCCACGTCTCTCTCCCCCCACCCCCGTTTGTATTTCTTGTTGAAACGCTTGCACAGGCCAACATGGCTACAACTTTGAAAATTATTAAAATGTTGACTTTTGTGATTCCAAACTTGTAGTACCCCAATTATACAGAGGTATAGGCAAAGCAAAGACAAGGTTAGGGCACATTATGCCATAAATAACAGCACAGGGCAAGGAATCTAATACAGTTGTAGTAGACAGATATTATATCCACTAGTTCTCAGTTGGTCACACTCAAGCATAAAGAATTAAAAAGAAACTGTGCAGATGAATAGGTAGGGCTAGGCTAGTAATAGATTTTACCTCCAGCTTAATGATATCTCCAAGTTGGTGGTCACTGGGATGAAATTAAGGCAGTTTAGTTGGTGACATGTTGAGGAAAAGACAAACCCTTCCTACTGGATATTCTGCATGTCACTAATAGGCCTTTCAAAGACATGCTCCTAATTTCCTCTTCCTTCACTTTATTCAAGTACAGCCTTCTAATCAGCCAAAGTAACAGACATATTCTGATTAGCAGCTAACTAGGTATGGGCTGGATAGAACAACTGTCAAGTGGAGAATTGGATACACGTTAAGTTCCATAATCATACTCAGAGACTACTTCTCAATGGCATCTTCTCATACTGGAAGAATGTAATAAGTGAACGACCCGAAGGTTTAACCCTGGGCCCAGTGCTCTTCAACATTTTTATTAACGACTTTGATGAGGGGGTGCAGTGAAGAGGAGCAAAGGCAGCATATCACCCTGAGGATAAAGAAAACAAGAAAACTATCCCTGCCGCTAGAACTGAACGACTGATTTCATGCTCTCTCCCTGGAAGAAGATGTGCAGACATCCAAAGATGAGTCTTCATCAAGTGTTCCAGTGAAAGGATGAAAAGCAGCTCAGATTGCTACAGGGGAGAGCAGCCTGCCAGGTACCCCGAAGAGGAAAAGATGTGTGGTGGTAATTGGTGACTCACTTCTTAGAGGAACAGAATCAGCAATCTGCACACCAGACAAGCTTTCAAGGGAAGCATGTTGTCTCCCAGGATGTGACAAAAAAGCTTACCCAAATTATCAAGCCCCTCCTTCTCTTATTATCCCCTCCTTCTCTTTCAGGCTGGGATCCACTATACAACAAAGAAGAGTCTAAAAAACATATCAAAGGACTATGAGCAACTGGGCAGGAAGGCAAAAGCAGTGGGAGCTCAGGTGGTATTTTATATGTCTGTGTTGTGTTATTTAAAATCAAGTGGGCTTTTTGAAACAGACAAGAGTAAAGCTCCTAACTGTTTGTATTTGGGCTGACGGACAGCAGAGAGAGGGGATTGCTTTGTTTGTTTATCAAATCCCTACTTGTGCTTCTCTAATTACTTTATTACAGCTTCTTAGGAACTGAATGAAGTAAATAAGAGTCGTTATAGGCTGCACCTCACAAGGACTGGGAAGTACATGTTTGGCAAATATCTTGCTCAACTCATTCAAAGGGCTTTAAACTAAATCTGCAGAGGGAAGGAGGTCAATCTCTAGGACCAAACCTAAAGCACAAACCCCTAGACACTGAACTTGACAATGAGGGAGGAAGATGTGAGAAGGAAGGGACACTCAAGTATAAAACACAAGACACAGCAAGCAAACAAAAGGTCAGCCATAAAGGGCTCAGATGCACATATACTGATGCTCAAAGTATGGGAACAAACAATGAGAACTTGAAGTCCCAGTACTCAGGCACGACATTGTTGTCATTTCCAAAATGTGGTGGGACAAAACCCATGATTAGAATATGCTGCTAGAAGAACTTACAACACCTTCTAAAAGTGACACCAAAGAAAGATGTTCTTCTCATTATAAGGGAATGGAATGCTAAAGTAAGGATTCAAGAGATAAAAAGAACAAGTTTGGTCTTGGAGTTCAAAATTAAGCAGGGCAAAGGCTAAGAGACTGTTGTCAAGAGAACAAGCTGGTCATCACAAACAATCTTTTCCAACAACAAAAGAGGTGACTCTGCACATGGGTATCACCAGATGGGCAATACCAAAATCAGATTGATTATATTCTCTGTCGCAGACACGGGTTCGAAAACACACGTGTAAGCTTG